CTAAAATATTGCAATACAGCAGCAACCACGAGGTGACCACACTCGCCGCCTCCTGCACCTCAAAAATTATAAGACCTCCCCGAAAATAAGGCCAAGTGCTTATTTTGGGGGTCAAAAGAAAATAAGTCCCTGTCTTATTTTTGGGGAAACACGGTACCACAATAGGAACCAGAATTCCAAGTGAATCACATCTGATCCTTATGATCTTTTCTGTCATGTTTGTTAAGTTAATCACTGCAGTTATTAAGTGAATCGTGCATTTATTAAATGAACCCAGATTTCCCACCGACTTTGTTTTCCCGAAGCTGGCTGGGAAGGTCACAACTGGCGATCGGATTTAAAAAAAAAAAAGCAAACTATATGTACACTGAGAGTTGGCCAAGTCTTTGCAGCCCAGATTTGGAAGCCTTAATAAAGTGTTGTAAAATAGCGCTGCTGTAAAAGCACAAAATTATAGCTGTAGATCACATTTAAGCAAGAGCAAGGAGAGCTTTTAATTGATTTATTCATTGGATTTATTGATTTCTTTTTAACGACTTTGCTCAGTTTCCACATCTGACTCCATTCATGTTGGAAGTCATCCTCTGGCATCCAATACAAAGCTAAGTAGAACCGCCAAGCCCAAAATTTGTTTCTCCTTGCCTTCCTGGTTTGATAAAAAAACAGGTAACTGAGTTAATGTTACTGTTTAGTTTCCTTTAGACATACGAGCTAGTATAGTTAAGCTATCATTGCAGAAGGCAGTTGTTTATTCAAGCGAAGTGGTAGAGATTTTACACTTGTTACCAACTACTTTATTTATGATACATTTGTCATTTCACAGGTCAGTTTTTAAGCTCTTATTTCTTTCGTTCTCCATCCTTCCCTTGGAATTGTAAAACTCTTCATCTCTTGGACCTGATGATTAAAATCTTCAGGGTGTTTGTGTTCATTTCAGATAAACTGACTGCCTGCAATTGAGCAACTGCTATGACCTTTACACAGATGGCTTTCTGGTGCTTAGGCTATGCCTGCTTATGATGGAGGAGGCCAGCTGAAAAAGCTGTGCTACAGGGAGTGGAGGGGTGGCGTAGAATAATTGACTTATCCATCGTCCAATGTAGAATACTTTAAATCCATTTCTGTTGGACATGATAGCAACTAGCGAATTAGTAAATGGAAGTTGGAATGTCATCTGCCAATAGGTTGCATTCAGCTTTACAACTCCTGATGATCATTTTTCAGAGGTTTCATATAGGCTATGAGCAATATACAGTTAAAGACCAGTGATTTAGCAACCATTCAAATTAGCAACAGTGCTCGGCAAATAGTACGTGTGACTGGTCCTCAGAATTCTGGTCATCACAGGGTCTCCACAATTATGTGTGGTTGTCATTTGTGACTTTCTTTGCTGGCTTTCAACAAGCAAAGTCAATGATGCCACACTTTACAACAGTGTCTTTAGTGAAAGCAATTCTGCTCCCAATTGCCGCCATAAACTGAAGACTACCTGTGGTAGGGTTTCAGCAGAATGTAATGAGTAATCCAGAATCTACCAATTTGATTAAATATTTATAGACAAGACTCAAGATGAAAGTTTATTCAAGTGCTAATCTTAAAATAAGATCTAATGCAACAGGTCAGCTTTCTGATTGAGTCTCTTCCAGGAGAGAAGTTATATAAAGCTGTATTGTTGCCCCATTGTTACTTGATTTCTATATAACAATTCCACGGTTGATCATCTAACTTAAACAGAATTTCATTCTTCAAATATTTCAGGGATGCACACAGCTACTACATGTAATGATGCCGTGATGCGATCACTATCATTGATAGGTCTTTAGAGGGCCCTTCAGCCTTTTAATATATCTTCTGCAGGGAGCAACAGCTATAGTTAAGCTCAGTGGTGGGTTGCAATTTATTTTACTACCAGTTTGCTTGTGCGTGCGTGCGTGCGGGATCGTGCAACGCTTCTGCACATGCGCAGAAGCATCCGGGCGGGTGGGTGGAGCCTTCTGCTGCTGCCACTACCAGTTTGTCCGATCTGGGCTGAACTGGCAGCAACCCCACCTCTGGTTAAGCTGCACTGAAACCCAACTGCTGAGATCTTATGAAATATGTCCTGGCATAGCTACATTGGCCCACAGATTCCCAAATCAAATGACAGAGATCGTTCAGACCGGGAGGCACTTCGAATAGTCACTCATGCCCTCGTCANAACGTTTTGCTGATGTTCGATAGGTTTGCATTTTCCCCCCCTCTTCGGTTCTATCCATCTCTTCGCTTCCAAACTGAATTTAAATCAAGGTGAGTTTTTAGGAAAACCTGCTTGCCGCCAGCAAGTGAAAGTGAAGAAGAGAGAAAGCAGAGACCGTTCCTTCTCCTTCCAACGCCTTTTTTTTGTCTTCCGCTCCAAAGTCCTGAACGCCAAAGCTTACCAAGAAACGGAGAAAAAAAAATATTGCAGGACAGGTATCCAAAAATAAAAATAAAAATAAACCACCACGCGTCAGGCTTGGCTCTCCCATCCCAGAGAACGAAAAATGTCCAAAAGCTTCACATCTCGGCTCTGAAGAACTTTCTGGAACTCTCGCGGTCTCAAACCTCAACAAAGTTGGGAGATCCGTAGCGGGAGGTGAAGGAAGAAGAGGAGGTGGATGAAAGACATAGCTTATTTCAGGAGTAAGAAAATAAAAATAAAAACAAACACCATCCAAAGACAAGCAATGGCTTAAACTTTTTCACATGTGTGGATGGACGCGGGGAAATCCAACGGAGGCTTGGATCGGCAGGTATCCCTGGGTGAAGGGAGAGGCCATCTAGAAGATCCCCCGGATGACGCTTCGGCCGGCCAGAGTGGGCGAGACGCTCTGCTCTTCCTTTCGGCAAAGGGTCCCGCGACTCCGTTCATCCCAGAAAGTCTGGTTTTCCTGAGCCAAGGCACGATTGGGGAAGAGCCCCCACCCCACCCAGCTTGGAGAAGGGGGCGAGCGGACGGGTGGGTCAGGGCAAGGGGGTGGGGGGGCGGTAGACGGTGCAAGGGGAGACCAGGCTGGAAGGCACCAAAGTGCAAATCGCGCAACGCAGACGGAGGCCAAGGGCGGCTGAAGATTTCTCCCCCCCCCCCTCTCCCCAGCTCAATCGACGAACCGCTGGCAGGCTTTCTTCCAGCGACAGGCCGTGCACCACATGCTGCGGTTCTCCATCCCGTAGACTTTGCGGCATTTCTTGGCTTCGCCACGCGGCTTCCTGCAAGGAGGCAGAAAGAAAGGCGGGTTGAGAGGATGGAGGAAGCGGGCGAGAGTCACGAACAAATCTTCACTCTAATGCAGTGTTTCCCAAACTTGGCAACTTGAAGATGTCTGGACTTCAACTCCCAGAATTCCCAGGGAATGCTGGCTGGGGAATTCTGGGAGTTGAAGTCCAGACATCTTCAAGTTGCCAAGTTTGGGAAACACTGCTCTAATGAATTGAACTAATTGTTCACCCCCACTGTCAAGTGATCGTATTTCTGGTGCTCAGCAACCTGGCAGATGTTTATATCCATTGGCACCATCCTGTTCTGACCGAGGCTTCCCGAGAGCCTGAAGCAAACTCCTGGTCCCGACA